CCCCCCTCTCATGTGCTCTCTGTCTCTCTCATTCTCTCTGTCTCAAATAAATAAAAAAAAAAATCTTTAAAAAAAAAAAAGATTAGGTTGAATATCAATAAAATAGGAAACAGAAAAACAGTAATGAAACCAAAAGCTGGTTTTTTGGGGGAAAAAATCAAAATTGACAAGCCCAGACTAAGAAAATAAAAGACATAAATTATCAAAAGCAGGAATGAAGAAGACTAAATACTTTACCCAAAAGATAGAGATTAAAGGGATTATCAGGGAATATCATAAATGACTTTATTTTTATTTTTTTAAAGATTTTATTTATTTGACAGAGAGAGAGATAGCTAGAGAAAGAACACAAGCAGGGGGAGAGGGAGAAGCAGGCTTCATGCCAAGCAGGGAGCCCGATGTGGGGCTCAATCCCAGGACCCTGGGATCATAACCTGAGCCGAAGGCAGACACTTAACAATTGAGCCACCCAGGCGCCCCCATAAATGACTTTATGCTAACAAATTAGACAGTAGATGAAATGGACAAAGTCTAATTCAAATAACCAAATTAGACTTAAAAAAAAAAAAGACAATCTGAATAGATCTGTAACAAGTAAGTTCAGTGAATAATTCAAAAGCATCCCATAAAGAAAACCCCAGGCCCAGGGCGCCTGGGTGGCTCAGTTGGTTAAGCGACTGCCTTCGGCTCAGGTCATGATCCCGGAGTCCTGGAATCGAGTCCCGCATCGGGCTCCCTGCTCGGCGGGGGGTCTGCTTCTCCCTCTACCCCTCCCCCCTCTCATGTGCGCTCTCTCTCTCTCATTCTCTGTCAAATAATAAATAAAATCTTTAAAAAAAAAAAAAAAACCACAGGCCCAGATGAGTTCACTGGTGAATCCCATCAAATATTTAAAGAAGAGATAATACCAATCTTCAAACTGATTCATAAAATGTAGTATGTTATAACTCATTCTATGAGGCCAGTGTTTTTCTGCTACCAGAGACATCACAATAAAAGGTAATCTACTGATTGTGATCCCTCAGAAACAGAGCCACAAAAATACTTTGACAAAGTGTTAGCAAACTGAATCCAGCAACGTATGAAAGGATTTGGGATCATAACCAAGTGGGATTTATCCCAGAAATACAAGTATGGCTTAATATATGAAAATTAATTAATATAATATCTCATAATAATTAGTAGAATAAAGTAGAAGTCAGCAGACTTTCTGTATGGGGCCAGATTAAGTAAATATTTTTAGGGCTTCATTGGCCATACAGTTAGCTGTCACAACTCCTCAACCCTGCCAGTGTTTTCCAAAGGCAGCCATAGCCTATACGTGAACAAATAGACATAACTGTGCTCCAATAAAACTTTATTTCTGGGCAATGAGATTTGAATTTCATATGATTTTCACATGTTGCATGATGTATCTTTAAAAAAAATTTCAACCATTTAAAAACATCAAAATCATTCTTGACTTGTGAGCCATATAAAAATAGGCAGCTGGTGAGATTTATTGCCTCCTGGAATAAAGGACAAAAACCACATGATCATCTCAGTGGGATTGGTGGCCTCTAAAATGGCCCCCAAGTAACCCCTGCCTCCTAGTACTCACACCCTTGTGTAATCTTTTCCCTTGAACGTGGACTGGACCTAGTGACTCATTTCTAACAATAGAATACTGCCAAAGAGATTGGATGTCACTTTGGAGATTAGGTTACCAAAAGACTGTGATTCTGTCTTGCTCTGCTTTCCCTCAGGGCTCCAGCTCTGGGGGGAGCAAGCTGTCCTATTGTGAGTAGCTCTGTGAAGAGGTCCATGTCACAAGGAACTGAGGGCAGGCCAACAGCCAGCAAGGACCTGAAACCTACCAAAAGCCAAATGAGTGAGCTTGGAATTGGATCTTCTGAGGTCTGCCAACAGCCACCTAAATAAGCTTGGAAGGGAGTTTGCCCCCAGTTAACCTTTGAGGTGAATGCAACTGTGACCAGTACCTTGATTACAGCCTTGTGGCGAATCCTGAGTCAGAGGCACCCTGCTAAAGCCACCTGGGCCTGTATTCCTGTCCCACAAAAACCTGTGTGATAGTAAATACTTGTTGTTTTAAGCTGCTTAGTTTTGGGGTAATTTGTTAAGTAACAGTAGATCATCAGTACATCATCCGATACAGAAAAAACACATGACAAAATCCAACACCCATTCATAATAAAAAAAAAATTCTCAACAAACTAGAAATAGAAAGGAGTTCTCGCAATCTGATCAGAAGCATCTACGAAAAACCTACTGCTAACCTCATACTTATTGATGAAAGACTGAATCCTTTACCCTAAGATCAGGAGCAAGGTGAGGATGCTAAATGTCACCATTTCTACCAACATTCTGTTGGAGATTCTAGCCAAATGCAATAAGCAGGAAAAAAAAGGGGGGGGGGCGCATACCGACAGGAAAGAAGTAAAACTGTCTATATTCTCAGATGACATAGTTCTAAAAGAAGTATCTGAAAATGACAAAACATTACTGAAAGAAATTAAAGACATGTATTAAGAGTATATAGAGAACTCTTGGGCGCCTGGGTGGCTCAGATTGTTGGGCATCTGCCTTCGGCTCAGGTCATGATCCCAGGGTCCTGGGATCGAGTCCCGCATCGGGCTCCCTGCTCAGCGGGGAACCTGCTTCTCCCTCTGCCTCTCTCTGTCTCTGTCTCTTATGAATAAATAAAATCTTAAAAAAATAAGAGTATATAGAGAACTCTTATAATCAATAATAAGTCCAATTAAAAATTGGGCCAAACACTTAGATATTTCACCAGGGAAAGAGATGAATGGCTAATAAGTACAAGAAAGGGTATTCATTACAGAACTGCAGCATAAAATCACAGTAGGATTACAATCCATACCCACTAACATGGCTATAATCAAAAAGAGAGTGCCAAGTATTGGCAAGGATGTAGAGAAACAGACCTTCATGCATTGCTGGTGGGAATGTGAAATAGTGCAGCCACTTTGGAAAGCAGTTCGGTAGTTTCTTAAAAAGTCCAACATAAACATAGGGTAGGACCTAACAGTGCTAACCCTAGGCATCTATCCAGAAGAAATGGAAACATAGGTCCACACAAAGACCTAAGACACATATCAGCCAAATAGAATGTATGGCTCCTATTTGGATCCTATTTGAACAAATCAACTTGACAAAGGCATTTATAAGACAATTGAGGAAACTTGAACACAGATGGGTTATCAGATATTAAGGAATTAAAGTCCTTATCTATTAGAAATATGTCTTGAAATATTTATAGGTGAAATAATATGTCTGGGATTTGCTTTAAAATACTGGAACAAAAAAGCAGAGAGAAATAGATGAAATAGAAATAGTAGAAATTAACAAATGTCAGAGCTTAATGTTGGTACATGTGCATTCTCTATTATTCACTCTTGTATATATTTGAAATTTTCCATTGTAAGTTAAAAAAATTAAACTCAGAACATGATCACTGTAGAAAAAGAGCCTTTAGGGGCTCCTGGATGGCTCAGTCGGTTAAGCATCTGCCTTTGGCTCGGGTCGTGATCTCAGGGTTCTGGGATTGAGCCCCGCATCAGGCTCCCTGCTCAGCGGACAGTCTGCTTCTCCCTCTTGCTCTGCCTGTCCCCCCAACTTGTGCTCTCTCTGTCTGAAATCTTAAAAAAAAAAAAAAAAGCCTTTAAGAAATTCATAAAGGAGTACCTGGCTGGTCAGTTGGTGGAGCATGCGACTCTTGATCTGGGAATCATGAGTTTAAGCCCCATGTTGGGGGTAGAGATTACTTTTTTTAAAAAAGAAAAAAAACAAGGGCACATGAGAGGCTTAGTTGGCTAAGTGGCTGACTCTTGATTTCAGCTCAAGTCATGATCTCAGGGTCCTGGGATAGGAGCCCCAT